TAGTTGCCTTCCCTCTAGTCTTACACTATTAAATTAGGGACGGCTGGCGCAGATAGCCCTCGTGTAGCTTTGTGCGAAATTCAAAACAGACAGACAGACACTTTAGAGGAAAGCTGGAGACAGGTAGAAGTTTTTCACACTCTTATAGTGTATTCCATAGACGTTGATTACAAAGAAAACGTAAAAATAATGAAGGCGCAATTAACTTTTTTTCGTGTATGAGGCACATAAATACCCTCCCATGGTAGTATATATTGATGCAATTGCAGTGCCAGTTTAAGCTCAATTAACAGGTAAAATAGGATGATTTTTAAAGTTTTCAAAGCATATTTTCTAGAACTTGATAAACTAAAAGTATAGGTGCATTCAACCCTTTCACTTCTTTGGGGTATTGAACTTTCTACCCATAGCTATATATATTGATGTAGTTCTGGTGCCAACTTAATGTCACTTTAATTATACCTATCAGATTTTATATTTTTATTTATTTTATTTATTCCTGTTAAATTAAACTCTATTATTACTATTAGCATGTAAGTATTTCTGTCTATTTGACACACATCAGCGTATCTGTTGACTGCGCCACTGATTATGGATTTTTTTCACCTGACCCGTTCTTGACTTTTACCTCTCCCCCCTTCCCACTCTGTATATGTATATATACATATACACATAATAAACTGTGCTCAAAACATTATCATGATTTGTAGCTGTGCGCATAATTGAATACATCGTATATAATTGTATTATTAGAATATATGAAATTTTCCCACTATTTCCTACGTCTGAATTAAGTAAACACCTTATTTACATACTATAAAGGATTAACGGACTGCGTAACTCTGTACTGTACATGTCTGTTGTACGTAACATTCCCATTTATATTATTTTACTATCCTTAGAAAAACTTGAATTATAAATGGCTTATTGCTATTATGTTTGAATTAATAAACTTAATCTGTACGCGTGTGTGAAACATAATATTAATATGTCTGACGTGTGAACATAATGTTATCACTACAACATTGTTAACACTTAACACAACCGACGTATGAACATAATGTTATCATTACAACATTGTTAGCACTAACACACTCGACGTATGAACGTAATGTTATCAATACATAATTGTTAACACTAGCAGACATGACGTAATGAACATAAATAAACCTACATTCTATGTATATTTTTGTGACGATGATAGTACAAACCTGTATTCACGACTTTCTGATGAAGTCTTAACTTTATATTTAATCCTGTTCGAATTCGACAGATTTTTGTGTTTTTCAGTCAAAATTCAAAGTATTATAAAAGGGAACTATGTGCTTAAAAAAAACAAAAACGAAAGTGTCATCTAAGTAACGTTTCACAGGCTTGAACGAAATTTGTCATTTACGTATTTTTCATGTAGCAATAATAAAATATAAATATCTAACCAGAGCATGTGTGAAGTCCGTTCTAACTTCATAAACTTGATTAAAAAAACAAAAATAGTCAGCCTTTAAAACATTCTACATATAGAGGAACTTTTTTTAAAAGAATATTTCTAAGTTAAAACGTTTAGAATAATCGATTGGAATATTCATCTTGAAAGTGTCCACTGTCATTTTAGGTCTATTCATATTGTCACGACAGCGGAGATTACATGACGCTAGTAAC